CTGCTCGTTGTTATGAACTGGAAGGCAGCAGCATGGAACAGGGAGGACTGGCGGTCTAAACTTGAGCAGGCTATCACTCAACTAGTGGGTCGTAACTCCGAATAAGAAGAATATATATTCGAACTGTTAGCGCAAAAAAAATGTATGTAAAAGTTTTCAGTTTTTATTCTACTCTTGCTAAAAGTGATATTTCGTAGTAATATAATAATTCTTAGTAGTATAATTCGTAGTATGATATAAGTAGCCTGTTACTATAGTATATTGCAGCGAAAAATAAAACATGAAATTACAGTAAAGAATCATAAAGAAGTAATTATTTTCTATGCTCTCCTGTAAAAACACTCAATTCTGCACACACTCTGCATTAACTGTAGCAATATATATATATTCAGTGTGTAGTGGAATTTTTTTTATTTTGATGAATTGTCAAATGTTAAAATTTTCGGTATCTTAGTATTCGCTGATAAACAAAATTCTTATATATCACACCCGCAAATGTTAAGGAATTACGAAAACAGCTTCTTCTGCAGATTTTATTCTCATTCAAAAAATTACACACCTTGAAATATAGATATCGTGAGTTCAATGAAAACGGCGAGGAAGCTACACTGACTTAACTCGGCAGAAGTTTTTTTATTATATTTTTTTTGTTTGTAAGTCTAGGACTCCATTGTAAGCTCTTATTAGGAGGAGCTTTTTAGGCCAACTTAGAAGCTTGAGAAGCTCTTCATAGGAATCCCTTTCACTGAAACCCATTGATGTATATCTATATAGAATCAGTAATGAGGGGAAAGGCTTGGGCGTGGACTTGGTGATGCCCCAGTCCAGGCAGATGTAATACATTCCACCGACTTAAGGACAGCCAAAGCGGATTCCGCCTCAAGCGGCTCCTAAGAGGATGTACTCAACATATAGGATTATTGGGGAGTGGGGAGGGACTGAGAGTCCCTCCTCCTTTGTCCTTTCGCCCTTTCTCCAACCTTTAGTACCATGTAATTTTTATTTTAATTTTTTTTTATTTATATAGTTTACTTAAATTGAAGTTTTATAATGGTTTTATTTATGTGTTTCAAGGATTTGTTCTCCAAGGGAAATCAGAATATAGTTGAACCGGTGAGAATGACAATAGTAAAAGTCCTAAATCAGTATTTGCAGTCTAAACGTTTGGTTTAACAGTGAATTACTATAAGTGAGTTTTAAGGATTCGTTTAGGGTCTATGAGTGTTGTAAGCACATGGTTGTTGTGCTCAATACCTAATTTTACACGTCTCAATTTATAAAACAACATTTTTCCAAAAGAGTTAATATTGGACTTGTAATGCTTATATTCTAATTGATTCAATAAAAGTGCATATGAATTCGTAAGGAATGGAAATCGCAAAGACATTTATATGAAATATTTTCTTCTTCCTCCCACTTTTACCAATACATTGCTAAATGATGATGGTGAGATTTGAATAAAAATATATGAATGGTCACATCGTTGTAAAATTATTGCTAATAAAAAAGAACTACTAAAGACCTATACTTACCAGTAATAAACACCTGAAAATATTATCACTGAAAGTTTACCTAAATTATTTCTTTTTAAAACTCTTTTATTGACTGACAGAACATCCTGTCACAATATGGACAATTGTCATAGTGGGAAAAGAGTTCATTCGCACCATATTTACTTAACATATAATAAAAAATAGACGTAAAATAGTAATTAAATAATAATCAAAAAGGAGATGCGATAAATAATATAACATAGGCATACTTGTGTACATTGCAATCAGCTAAGACAACTTCGAACTAGGCTTCTCACATCACCGGAGGAAGGAGGAGCAGAAATCCAGGAGGTCCCTGCTATACTCAATCTAAACCTTTTACCTAAATGAGAACCTTTCACCAATAATTTCATACAAATTATCATACACATCCCAAATGACTAACAAGATGCATGGCTATAGCTGAGATGTCATTGATTTGGAAGATAAGACTGATAAAAAGACGCTGGATGAGAGATCTTTCATAACCAAGGTAACTGAATAAAGTAAATGAAGGTTGAGTGTTTTCTTTTTCAAGCCGAACAGATCACTATTTCCTACATTGACTGTTAAATATTATTTTATAGTTACTTGTGTTTTTACCATCATTAGAACGACTTTTTTTTTACTCTATGTACACATCATATATACCAATAATATATTCTTGAATTTGGAATTATAAAAGTTATGTAAGTAGATAATATAAATCATAAAGCCTTGAATCTCTACATACACGTGAATAGTGGAACTTGACAACGTTTCGCCAAAGCACATATAGCACACGTTTCATACATCAAGTACTGTAATATTATATTAAAAAGCTAATTAGAAGGAATGAGAAACAAATAATACGGATATCAAAAAACTCAAAATATTAAAAAAATTAAATGACAACAGAGAAATAAATTATTAAATAGAAAAGAAAAACGATTTAACGTAACATTTTTATTTTTCAATAAAAAATACTCAATAAGTATATCGTTTATAATGTATTTTTTTTCCTTTTAGTGTTTTAAAATTAATATCCGTTACATAAAATTTTTAGAAATTTATCTCACTAGTTCATAGTTTACAGATATATTTTTGTTAAGTTTTCATGTTATAAAATATAAATATTTAAACCTCACATCTCCCAAATTTCCCGTCGCACTATCTCCACCCTAAAACAGTTCAATTGTCTACGATATCTCCTTCCATATAAGTCCCGTCAACTCCTAGTTTCCTCCCTTGTTTTCTCCCACTTCGACTATGGCTGTATGGTGTACGGTGGACTCCCGGGAGATTCCGAGGTCAAACTTAAACGCCTAATGAATTGTTTGAATTGTGACTACGATTTGTTTTCGGAATCTCAAGGGATACGCATATTACCCAGTATTACACCGGGTTGAAGTGGCTCTATTCATCCTATCGTCGCCAGTAATTCCTAGCCACATTTCTGAACAAGATCATTAGACCTCATCGATCCTCTTATATTTTTCACAGCTTACAATTCAAACACTATATCCAATCCTGTCCCTCTAGATCTTGTACTTTTGACCTCTATCCTCCTCCTCACCGAACTGCTGCGTTTGAAAAATCCTTTGCAATTCAAGCTCCTTCTGGAATTCCATCCCTGCTGATATTCGACATGCACAATCAATTTCCTCTTTCAAACCTCTCCTCTTTAAACCTCTACTCTTTTCTCAATCCGACTGATTACACATATACCTAAGAGAACTATCTACGTATCCCCAGGGACTACTTAAATTTATTTTAGTTTCTAATATATATATTTATATATATATAAGTACAATTTTCATGTCTTTTTCTGTCTCTACTTCTTTCTATATTCTTATCTTTAATTAACTCTTATGGGAAATATAGAATTTATTTAGGACCACTCGGACATGCAATTTGTACTTAATTTATTCTAAAGGGACAACAGAATAATAAAATATATTTTCATTTATTAATCCTTTTTTAAATTAATCTACTGTAATTCTGTCCTCTTATTGATTTAAAGATGTTTTCCCCAATATAATATTTTTACCTCCTTGACGCTCAAGTTATCTCGTTTCATAATAACTTTTTTATTATTTGTGTCTCACAAAACTAGAAATATTCTTAATCCAACTTGTGGGATGGAAATTTAGAAACATAACAGAGAATGTCATTTTGCTGATGAAAGGAGATAGGAGCGACCAGCAGATGTGAAAAGCAACCTTAATCCTCTTGGTGAAGTTGCCTTAATTGAATATCCAACTTTTGTTCAACTGCTTCTTTGAAACTGCTATTTCCCCATTGGCTTCTGTAATGGTCATTTTCCACGGGAACAAACTCTGCTGGAGCACTTCACAAAAGAAAATTGTTTCAAACATTTTAGCTCTACTATTTTGATAACAATTATTGCCATAATAAAAGTTCAGTAGAATTTTATTTCATTAATTTATAAAGGATAACATAAAAATTCCAGATGCTACATACCCTGAAAAAAAAAGACGCCTTCGTAAAACCAAATGCATGAATCTGATGAGGAATTTTTTCTAGAATATTAGATTTTTTTAGCTACTCAATGTTCTCTAAAAATACAGGTAGATAAAAGTTCAATGAATAAAAAATAGGTATCTCAAATGAGTATCTCTAGGGCTTTAGTTTAGTAGTATTTATGAATTTGTATTATTGGAGCACCTACAGTACCACCATTACTGGTAAGGAGGTTTCTGGTTAGATTAAAATCTTAATCTTTTTGTTTTGATCTAGGAATTTACAAATGAATCGAAATAAAAATAAAACCAATAAACGTGAACAGAGAAATATAATGATATGAAAAAAATTGCTGAGAAACTACGCATTGATGGCACAAAAAATAGTTTAAAAAAAGTTTACACTAGGAGGTCACGAGGACAATTTCTTTTTAGACACTTCAAATGGTTTTGAAGAAGAAGCAAGTTTTGAAACAATCGGTTTGGATGATTCTGAGGTTTATTAAAAAACATTAAGTTTTGGGTTTCAACTAGCTCGGCAATATTTGGAGCATAAGGTCAATATGGATGGTTTTATTGGTAATAAAGTAAGGAGAATTGGGGATTTTACGAAAGATTTTGAGTTTTAAGGGTGACGTAGAGAGGAATTAAAGGGTTTTGTTAAGTCAGAAGGCACAGCTACGTAAGTCCAAATAGGACTTTTTAAGCTCATGTATGTGTCTATTGTACTTGAATGGAATCTTAGAGCGTTTTTCTAGAAAGTGTAGAAGTGGTCTGGAACGTCGAGTGGTTTCTTGCAGTCATGACACAAAAATATAGAATCAAATGTAAAACAACTTAAGAATAAAATTTCATTTATTATCAATCTGAATTCCTTTCAACTGAAACTAATGTAGTCATTTCAGTTTAAAGAAGTAAATAAATAAATAAAATGTGAAAAATATATCAGGCTGGTTTAGCAAACCTCATATATATATTTTTTCAATATTTTGTTTTATGTTCCCAGGCTAACAACATTTACGCTATTGTTTCATCACTCGTCTCTTTTTGGATACCTTGCACCATCATGGTGTTTACCTACCTGGCCATCTTCAAGGAGGCGACGCGACAAGAGAAACAGCTCCATGCCAGGATTGGAAACCAGATGCTTCTTAGCAATCGGGACTGCAACGGAGATACCCTTGGAAGCAGCGGGTCAAACAAGGCACTGACGCTGAATGAAGTTGGGGTTCACAACACCCCGACCAAGGACCGGAACATCATCAAGATGAAGAGGGAGCACAAGGCCGCCAGGACGCTCGGCATCATCATGGGAACATTCATCCTCTGCTGGCTACCCTTCTTCCTGTGGTGAGTACCTCTTAATGTAAGCACTAATGATATCTTGCATAAGTACAGCTTAAAGTGAATATAAATTACAAGGCATGAGATGGATATGAAATGTCTTTTACTAAACGAGTTTTTACTGTCAGCAAAGTTTCAACAGCATACCTAATACAGTACTGTTCCAAAAACTGTACTCCTCAAATGCCAGAAGCGGAAAAACTATATGCGTATGAGACATGTGCGCGTGACAGTTTGCTGATTGACAAATTCGTAACTGACCTAATAATATAAATATAAATAGGTCAACTGGGTCAGGAGCATATCCACATTATATCAATGTGCCGAAGCCTCAAAAATCGCGGAAAATGTTTATATGCACAATTCTTCAAAATTATAATGGAAATAAATTTATTTTTAATTTAAATTATTTCAATTATATCGGTATTTTACTATATTTCTGGGTGCCGCGAATTGAATTTACATATAGCCCGTGGTACAGACCGCATTTTATGAAATTATTAACATCCGCCTGAAACTTTGTAAATAGTTTCAACTCATCGTAACCTACCACTATGATTTATACGAAAATTCTCAGAATTGGTTCATTTTCAATCTGGAGGGGGACAAACTTTTTCTATTTAATTAAGTACTAAAATCTCGAAAATACCCATTTTCTTTCCACTTTAATCGTAAGATAACTTAAGATCAAAGTCGAAAAAAGAAGGTGACCTACAAAAATACATTCCACTCGGCCTACATAACCTCGTTATTTTGACGATTTGGGGGCCTAGGTCATGTAAACCGGCTTTTTTACCTTAAATTGACCTAATTTTGCCGGTGTTCAAATTGAAAACCCCCCAATTCCAAGAATTTTTGTAAATAAAATATTTGTAGGTTACGATGAGATGAAGCCGTTTACGAAGTTTCAGCTGGATGTTAATAATTTTATAAAAAGGCGTCTGTACTAAAAATACATTCTTAGGATAGGCAGTGATTTTTTCCCTTCTCTTGGTTTTATATCAATCAGAGATTATAAAGGATTTAATTCTGATGCATTGAGTTTCTTTAACATAAGCTTTCTTGTTCTAGCTGACTGTCGCATCTAAAGTCTTATTCTTCATCCTCAGGTTTCCTTGTCCTCTCTCATTTTCTTATATTTATCTATTTTTCAAATGTAAATCTAGTCCTATTAACGTGCATTTGAAAATTTTTTTTTTAATTTTTCTCACATCACTCAAAGATAGTTTTTAAATTTTTTGTTTTGATTATTTCAATTTTGACTATTTATTTTTATTTCCACTGCTCATTGCAGTATAATTCTTAAACCAGAAGTTTCTTTCTAAGTATTTTCAGAGTTTATTAAGCTTTAATAATTTAATAGTTAAAGTTTTATTAATAAAACTGAAATAAGCATAAGGGTCTTAGATAGGGATATTTATTTCGTTTTAAAATTACCATTGCCGATTATCCTAATATGATTTTAATAGCAACTTATATTTATACTTTATTTTGATAAATATTAAGTGTTCAGATGCAACTGGTGAGACCGGTAGAATAACTATTACGTCATTGTTGTATATTTTTTTCGGTATATATTATGGCATTACACAGTTGGCATGGATAATCACAGTTAATCGCTGAAGACATTGAATTTAATCGATACTGATGAAGAAAATTGCTGACTCTTTTGGAAGTCAAATGCAGTTACAGAAATGAAATTACTTCTCTTTTATGTATCAGTATTATGGTATCGTTCTGTAATAATAAACTCTTTTAATATTTTAAAAATATTATTATATAAAATATAAAATAATAAATCTAGATCAATCTTCAGAAGTAGAATTTATTTTGTTCGATATTCTTTAAAATGAACATAATACCATTAAAATTAAATTGATTACAGGTACGTGATAACTTCGCTTTGTCAGGCTTGTTATGTACCCGAAGTGGCCGTCACCCTCCTCTTCTGGATCGGCTATTTCAATTCCACCCTCAACCCTCTCATCTACGCCTACTTCAACCGCGACTTCAGGGAAGCCTTTAAGAACACACTTCAGTGCGCCTTCTGCTCCCTCTGCAGGCGACCACCGTCTGACCTCGAGGCCCTAGAGGTCAGGAGGCCATCCCTCCGCTACGACGACCGGACACGGAGCATCTACTCCGAGACCTACCTCAAGCACATCGATCGGCGGAGGAGTAGCGAAGTCGGGAGCAGCCTCTGATCCGAGGACCAGGTCTAACTCCCGCAATGGAAGAGTTAGGCCGCGTGGAGTCTAGGACTGATGGCGGAATGTCTGGGCGATATCCTTGGTAATTTACGATGTGTGCAATAATGCCAAAGAGTGTGTGGAAGTGTTACCGGATATGTAATAAATGTTGTTTAATATTTTATTAAGAATATTTTATTCTCTCTTTTACTGAAAATTGGTGAGTAAGAACTCGGTAATATTAAGAGCTAAATGAATGAAATTTCAAACTATCCTAAATGTTTCTGTCCCTTTCAAGTTTCAAAAACTCATTAATCAGACTCTAACAATTTTTGAGTATAGCTTTCTAATAAAATTTCTTCTCACGCAGTTACCGATCAATCTTATAGCCAACTGCAGCTCGTCAAGACGCCGTTAACCAAATTTCGGTTTAAAGAAAACAAACACAATGTCTAGTCATCTGTAGCAGTATCACAGGACTAAAAATAATAATGACATATTCTAGCTTCATGAACTCTTAGAACTGTTGAAATTAAACTCAAATGTCTGATTTAAAATCAGGCAACTGATGTGTTGGCCATAAAACATAACTTCAAGGCCATCCCTCTCTTGATAACTCAATCGTTACAAAATTTAAATCATTATTCTTCATCAGTTTGAATGAAATCCTATAAAATGATAAGGAATTAAATACACCTAATCAAAAATATATGTAATATAATAAAGTGATCAATTTTATCTTATACAGTAAAACATGTTTTATATTAAGTTTATATAGCTTTGATTTATTTAAACTTTGAAGCTTTGAAACATTTTCAATAATATGAATTGAGATAAAAACCTTTACTAAAGTATTTGCTAAATTTCTTTCAATTTTTTTATTTTTTAAATAAATTTATTAAATATTATTTAAATTAATAATTCTTTTTTGTCTATAAAATGCATTTGCGCCTGTCAAATTATTGTTGAAATCAGCAAATGTGCTGGCGATACAGGAAATGATGACATGATAGGAATGGGGAAAGTAACTACTCAGCAGTAGCTATTCCCTAACTTGTTCCTATTACTTAAGTTGTTTAAGGAAGGTGATCTCTGATCCAACGTCTTTTTAATCCCTCCTCATGTTCTGAGTCATGTCAGGTGTGGCCATGTCTCTTATTAGTCTGTTATTATGTCTGTTTAAATAAGTGTAAAATCGTTGATAAAGGGTCGTTACATGTTGGTCAACTGTTAGAAGGTGAAAGTCAGTATATAGAGTTTTGTTAGTTACGTACCAAGGTGCTTTTGTTATAAGTCACAACAGTTTTGGTTGGAATGTTTGACTTTTTGTGGGTAATTTTTAGCGATAGCGTATACTTGTGATGAGTATGTCCATATGGGCTTAAGCAAGTATGTATATTTATTCAGTTTCTGTTTCAGTTTTAGTTTTGAAAATTTAGTGAAGAGAGAGTAAAGTAGTTTGAGTCGTTTGTTAAGTGTCATACGTTTCATTTTAACATGCGGGCCCCATGTCATCCTTCTGTCACATGTGAGTCCAAGGTAAAGTACCATGTCCGTTTGAGAAATTCGATCGTTGTCAATGTAAACTGGAGGGCAGGTGTTTTATCTAAGAGTAAATGTTATATGTTTGGATTTTGTAATTTCGGGTGAGTGATTTTGTAGAGTTAGTGAGGCCTGTGTAGGGTCTTATTTTTTTGTGAGAACTGTTATATCGTCTGCATAAGTAGCTGTCAAGATCTCATCGTTGAAAGGTATATCTTAAGTGTATACATCGTAAAGTATAGGGTATTGAACCTTGGAAAACTCCTGCCAAGATTGGACTTACTGACGAACTTTCTGAGCCCTGCCGAACTGAAAAAAAAAAATTTGTTGAAGAGGAAAGATATAAGGATAGGATAGTATGCGTATGGCAGTACAGTCTTAAGTTTAAAGAGAAGACTCTTCTGTCAGACTCTAACAAACGGCTAAGCAACATTCCGAAATACTCCAGTTGTATATAGTTTTTGTTCTAAAGCAATGTAGTCTGTAACTCTGTGTAATTGATATGTCGTCGAATTTAATGTGCGAAAGCCGAATTGGTGATCAGGTATTACCTGTCAGTCAATATGTCGACAAGTTTTTGTATATTAATCTTTCAAAAACTTAAGAGTATATAGAAAGGAGGCTAATGGGTCTGTAGGATGAAGGTATATGTCTATACCGGGTTTGTGAATAATCATAATGAGTGAGTATTTCCACTGTAAAGGGAATTTTGAAGTCCTTAGTAGACAGTTGTGAATTGTTGTCAAAAATACCAGAGCTTTCTTGGGTATTTGTTAGAGCGATTCGGCTGGTATCACGTCCTAAATAGGAGCTCTTATTTTCGGTTTTTGTTTGATTTGGTGTGCAACCTGAGATGGAGTAAAAGACGGAGGTGATAGTGTCTGCTTAAGTGGGATATTTAATGTTTTAAGAACTAGAGTCTCATGTTCTGTGTTAGTGATGTTTGGTGAAATGGTTTAAATATAGAATAAAGGTGGTGAGCGAAGAGCTCAGATTTTTTCTCATCCGCCACGGACCAGGATTCATTTCTTTTGGAGAGGTACTGACAGCTCTCGGTGCTTTAACAACTTTTTGGTATGCTTCTACAACCTTCCATCGTCAATAGAATGACCAGTCATGTATGCGTCATAATTAGTTCTGTTAATTTTTTTGATTTCTCTTTTACCTTAATTGTTTAGTCAGTTAAATTTCTGTCTAGTTGACGGGCGACTGTCATTCTGCCATATTTTACGCACTCTTCTCTATGATCTAATTAAATCTCTTTTTTACTGAGGGTATTTTGGCAAGAACTCAGTGTTTGCAGAGTTGATCTTTAGTATTAATGGAGTCTAAGCTGCTTGTTGGATATTTTTGGCGAATATTTCCGCAGCCTGAACTTCTTTTTTACTTTTTATAGACACTGGGATCTAAAGGCAAGAGCTTAAAAATTCTCTATACAGCTGGTCATCTTTGCACGTTGACGGCCTCATCCGGCACAATGAGGTGTACTGCAGAATGGTTCGCAATCCTTTTGTAATAAAGTCCAATAGGTCCGGGAATTTTTGTCTCGATAGAGGCCAGTATATCGGTGTGTTAGGATTTATAGTATCTAACAAAAGCTCGTGAAAAGCAGCCCTCAAATTTATTCCGGTTGGTGAGCTTAGTCGTGAACCCCAATGTTGGTGCTTCACCTCCTGCTATGAAACATCTACCTAAGCTTTGAAGGAAGTTGCAAAACATCGAAGATGTCAGAACCTATCTTGGAGGACAAGAGAAGGAAGCCAGAGACAATGTGTTGTATTTCATGTATAGAGTGATGAATGGGGACTAGTAGTGGTGTTGTAAGTACATCTTAAGAATTATTTACAGATATTTGCGTTTCGTTTTCCGTTTCAGTTTTTTTGTGTTTGCTCGGATCTCTGGATTCAGTAGGAAGATATCTTTTTTTTCCATGTTACCAAATCACAGTCATCACCACAATTGGCTTCAATTAAGTCCATCCTTTCCCTACTTTCCTCAACATTTGACGTTGAGGTCCATTTTTTTAGGGCGGATATCACCTTCAACTACTAATATTCACTTTTTCATCAACCTCCTTCACTTCGCAAAAGAAAATTTTAAGTTTTTACTTTAAAATTTAAATAACCATTTTGATTACAAATATTTGTGTTTATAGGTAGCTACTTAAATACTTAAATCATCATTTCTTACCCGTAGTAAATTTTCTAATTTTAATTTTGTTAAAATAATAGATAAATCGCAAAACATTAATGAGTTGATTGAGTACCTAAAATTGAAGAACATATTTCTTAGGTATGTTAAAGACGTGTAACTAATTTGTTCAACTTCGAGTAAATAAATGAATAAAGTAATTTAAATTAAATAAAATTAAAAAAAACTAAATATTCTTAAGTAGTTAGTAGAGTGTGAGAAATCGAGAAGGCTATATTTTTAAATAGTTAAGATAATATTTAACTATAGAAGAAACAAAAAACAGAAGATAACAAAAATGTGTGTTGGATAATAATAAATAAATAAATCAGAACTTAAGTAAGAAGTTCCATGCAAGAGCTACTGCATTGTTGTTCACAATCACCTTAGAACGTCAGATATTCACATTAGATATTTAAAAATTATTAAAAAATTTCACATAAAATAAATAATTTCATAAATTTTATTAAATTACGAAGTAATTGTAAATAATGATTACGTAACTAATTAACAAACGAAAATTTTAATGAAATAATTATATTTTTTTTAGGAGTTCAGCGAGCAGCGATACTTGCCAAAATACAATTTTGTTAAAATATAACTTCCATGAAATTTATTTTATTTTATTATTATTATTTATTTTATTATTTAATTCAAGATTCCCGACCCCTATAAAGTGAGTTTGGATAACGTTACTTCCTGATAACAATGTTATTTAAGAATATTAATCTTGTATCGGAAACTTATACATCTATAGTAATGCAATAGTTTTCTTTTCTATATTTTGAAAATGATTTGATATTAAGTTTAGGGAAATTCTCGACTTATCGAAATTTGAAGAAAAAAAACTTGAACTGTTTTAATTCTTAAAAATAATTAATAAACATGCAATTGAAAGAAATTGCTTTATAAGGTTATTTCATTAAAATATTCTATCATGAATCTGAGGGGATGATAGTGAACGCAGTGAGTCAAAATGTTTGGAATACTCCCTACATATGACAATTAATAATTTAGTAGCAGATTTGATGGAATAGCTAATATTTTTCGTAAATTTCAGATTTCAAATTACTTCCGCAGTTATAAAATACTCGGCTAGTATTTTGAAGAAAAAATGATACTTGTAAATATTTAAAAAAAAATGTAATAAAGAATATTTGTACTTGCTATAAATGACAAACATGAGCTGAAATGTCTGTCACCAGTTCTGAGTGATGTTTAAAAAAAACAGTTTAACTCAAATTAATGAGGCGATATTTTGATGAAAGTAAAAGTTAATTTACAAATATACCATAAAAATAGAGTTAATATAAAGAATTATTAATACACAGAGTATTTCACAACTTATAGTTTTTTATTTTAACCTATCATTGTTTCATAATATGACGGCATTTATTGAATGGTAAATAATCTACAAATGAATTAAATATGATTTTAACCGTGCATGCAATT